AAGTATCATAAGCCAGATTGAAGAGAAAGGCGTTACGTACATAAAACGATTGGTTTCGTTAAAGAACTGCAAACTAAAATTGGACCCACCAGCGGCCGAGTGGTAAAGTCTGTAAACACTGGTAGTTCCGCGTTCAATTCCAGGCTTTCCTGTAGACTGCGAAACTCGGGTTCTAGTGGCAGCATGTAGCTCATGTGAGAGCTGTGAAGCTGCAACAGTCCTGCGTCGTCGCGCTGAAAGTGTCCAATAATGGTCATCATTCACCGTTGCGGATCTTGGTTGACCTTGTCCTGATCTTTTCGATATGGATCCAGTGTCCTGAAATTGTTTCCACGACTTACAGACGACACTGTAAGTTACAGAATTCTGTAGCCACCTGCGCTTGTAATTAGCCTATCTCCAGGTCTAGCACTAAGTCTTCGTTTCATCCCATCATGCATATGTTCGTGGCCACTTATTTTACATAATACCTTAAAAAATTTATCCAAATCTTACGAGAAAAACGACAAATGTTCTGAAAGAGAACGGGCACACAAATCGCCAAAAATTCCTTTTGCACTTATATCCCCTCAACAATCACAGCTCAATAGACACGCACGTGTACGCTTACGGTTTAGAAGCCGAATATTTGCATAATTCTTTGACGTCATAATTAGTACCTTAGGATTTATACTTTTAGCAAAAATAGACATAATTTGCAAATTCTCTTACTTTTGCACACGAGTATAGTTTTTACTTTAAATAAAGTAATCAAAGAAACCATCACGAGATTTCAACAGCTACATATTCTTGCTATAGCTTTTTAATTCCGTCAAAACTTTTGAATGAAAATTACGAATATCAACTCAACTTTTATCAGGGTGACACTAATAAGGAAGATTTCGTTGTTAAGAGATAACAAATCAGGAACATGGAAAGGCGGCCTTTTGAATTTTTTTTAGTTCATCCAAAAATATTGTCTTGATAGTTGTGAGAAGAGTTTTTTAAATCAAAACCGTTTAGGAAATACTAAAATCTACAAATGTGCATTTTGCGTTTAGGAAATCTTTCTGTATTGCCTAGATAACAGCAACCGGAGTATTCAAACAGACCTCTACAATGCCATTGATGATTTCGCAAATAGAAAACAAGCAAAATAATAATATAATTTTTAAAATGTTGGAATTAAAGTTTTCTTCAGAAACAAAGTAGAGCTTTATTTCTTTTTAGTTACTAGCTCGTATATCAAGATGGGCGGCAAATTCAAGGACCTGTAGCTACGATACTGCAAAATCTTATTTATTTTTCCCCTAGTTTTGGTTATAAAGCAAATTTTATATATGGCGCTTGTTTTGCAGCATTTGTTTTGTAAGAAATCAAATTTCGGTATTAAAGCATATAAAATTTTGTATTCTATGGTCTGTTTAAAGATACCTGGTCCATCAAATCTGTCTTGCAGACATTTGTAATTTCCATACACACATTTATCTAAACTCCGGATATTTAAAGCAAAGTACTGGTATATTTAGAAATGATCAAGGGATTCTGTTTTTTTTTCCGTCGTTGAACCAAAAATTAATTTTTTAAAAAATCGTGAGCAGAACCTGATTTCCAGAGGGGGAGACAAAGCTTTTTGTCTTTGATGTATCGCTTTTAACACATCTTAATTAATCTTAACTTAATTAATTAACATTAATCTTAACTTTAAAATTTGCATTAACACGAAATTGCCGATATTGATAGTGGCTATAGATTGACATGTTTAGATGCTTCAGAACAGGTAAAATTCATTTTAAGTAAATGTTCTAAAAAGATCTAAAAAAACCTAGTTATACACCAAAAATACTCAGAAATACCATCAGAACAAGAATGAACACTATTTGACAAAAATCATGTCAATAGTCATAGACTGATTAATTGTTGATAGGCTATGCAGAAGTATCACTTATTGTCCATTATTGGTTACACCTATTAGAAAATTTCATGTTCCCCAAGGGGTGATGCGCTGAAATGCCAGTTGCGCGGAATTACCATGTGCAGAAGTGTCATATCATCACATTTTACTTGGAGGCTGAATATGCTGCTTCTAATGTAGTACTGCTAGTTAACAAATTAGAAAAAGTTAGAAACTGATTGGAACCTCCTTTTGCAAATACGAGCTTTAGTGGAATTCAACATGGCATCTGATTCAAGCCATGGAAAGAAAATAAATAAAGAAATGAGAAAAAGATAATCTAATTATTAAGCAGGGTTTTAGGAAGTAATGCTCTGATTAAGAGCTACATAACTAATTCTGAATATTACACCGCTTTAAACTTCTCTTTGCTTTTGCAACTGACAAACGTAACAGACTGATTGACTAGCTAATATAATTCCAGGAGTTCCTCATTATATGATGTACATTTCTTTCTTCGTTATGAAGTTCATTATTACTTCGTAAAACTTTCACTACAAAATTTCAAATACAGGCAATGAGATACTTAGCAATCCCTTAAAACACGAATTTTTTAAATTTAAATTAGAATAATTAAGAGAATTTGCTTAAAATAATGTCGACTATTACTGTCAACAGTTCTTCATAATTTGTTTAACTCATTAATATAAATATTTTTAACCAATTTCTTTCAGATCTACCAACTAATTTTGCTTTTATTTCAACTTTCCTGGCTGTAACGTAATTTTTGTTCATAAAACGTATACCGCAATTTTCGCTGAGATTAAATTATGAACTGATGCATAATACAATTAAAATAACACCGAAATAACACTGTCTATTTGTTATGGCGGGTTTTCTTACACGATAAAGAATGAGGACCACGGTGTCACGTTCTATATTCCGGATCTTATTACCTTAAAATACAAGCGTAGGGCCCAGCTTTCAAGGGCCCCTCCAAATCCTTATAATCATGATGATTTGGGAGGGCATCGTAATCTTATTTTGCTCTCATGCAAATAAGGAAAATGAGCATTGAGGCTTTAAATCCCGTAAGATGAATAGTCTTGTCGGGAGCCTGCTCAGAGGCAAGTAGTAATAGTGCTAAAACCAAATTTTCTTTATTCGGCCCTGTCTATTTCTAAATTGTGAACATTTTCCTAATAAATAATAATTTACAATGTAAGTTGAAAATTAGTTTTCTAACAGAGTTATTAAATCGCTATAATAATAATGAAAGCTTTTTTCCTTTTTTGCGTGTGTGCATGTGTATGCGTGAGAGAGAGAAATGACGCGAAAATGAATAATTGATGAAACTTTAGTCTTATAATCGGATAGAATTATAACCTAAATTTCAGCTTCGGTAAATCAAGTGTTTCGGGCGCTACTTAGTTTTCTGTTGAATAAGGGTATTCCTATTGTGATCATTATCACGAAAACAGAGAATCTACTGAAATGTTAATGTACTTACCTTCAAAATAACTTCGTATTCGCCGTTAACATTGAAACTGAGGAAATTTGTCTTGCAAAGTTACAGACGCAACTGGCTGAATTCATAATCTTTATTTAAATGAATACATAGATATATAGCATTCTACTGCTCTTACCTACTCGCTTTTCTTAACAGATATCCTCTTTCGGCTTGTATTTCTTCTTTCCAGCAGCTTCTTATATCAAGTAGCATTGGTTTTCCATTGCTCTCTCAAAAATATTTGCTATATATAGGTGATTAGTGTGATTATGTGAAGTACTTCTGGGGTATTAAAGATTTATGTCATCTTTTTTACACTGTCAAGTGAACAACAGCTTCATATGGGTGATCCATTATAAAAATGCCCGAACCCTTATACAAGGTGGCAATTGTCTGAATAGATAGAAACTTTCATAAAAATCCTTCAACATAAAGGTGCGCGTACCTTTAATGACGATCAGCTTTTAACTCTTGTTGTTACATATGGCTTTATTCGAAAGATCAATCCAAACATATAAAACAGCTCAAGTATCACACAAGAACAATGATAAATAATAAAAAGAACAAAAATTTCTTTTTATAACTTTTAACTTGCAGAAAGCAAACTTTATGAAGGTGCCCATTCCTTTACCTTTTAAAGTAAGATTTTATCTTTGCGAGTTAGAAACTGATCCTCATAAAGGTGGGCGCAGCTTTATGTTAGGGCACTTTTATGAAAGTTTCTTCCTTTTTGACCTATGGCTGGCATTATACAAGTTCATTGATAATTTGGAAAAGCATAAAGGTGTAGGCACCGTTACGACGGGACACTATTATGAAGGCGCCCCGTCCAAACAGTGTCAACATATCAGTATATTTACCCCATGTTAATTATTATACTTATTTACTCCAGTTCGTATCATGTTTACTCCCCGAAGTATTATTTCGGTAACTACTCTGCATAAACCAATGTTTCTTGAGAAGCATTTAGATTCATATAGACGTTTGCAATAAACACAAGTAAATGGCTAGTTTTTCATATTTATTAAGACAAAATCACCTAAACTGCACAGAAAATGACAGTCACGTTGTTTGTCATTAAGAGAATAAACTTGGTGTTAAATATGCATCCAAATATTTAAAACGAAATTCCAACAATCATGATTATATGGACGGATTTTTCCTTCGAAGATAATTTCAAAAACGTATACACCGGAGGAAACATATATAAATATTTACACATATGTTGATATAACATATTTATATTTTACAGTATATAGTACAGTACACACTGTACAAAGACTTCATAAAAAGCTCAGGTAGAATGTTAACAATAGATTCGAATGAATGTAAACAACATGATTTTTCAAAGTTAAAAGTTGCCTTAATAAAAAAGATACTGAGGCTTCTAATTCTTTGAAGAATACAATGTTAATGAACTAATTCATGTCAATATTTGAGTTATTTAAACATCATATGTCATCATATGATGAATATATATATCATATTAAATACATTAAATAATTTAACATTTCAGCTTCAGTCGGATGTAAATAAATTTGTTTAAAATACAACATATAATTTTTTTAATATTTTTTTTAAAGAGTCAGATGTATTGCCCAATTAGGAAAGCATAGATTGATTCAAAATAACATTTTAATATCAGATCACTAATTATATATTCATTTTCTAAACAAACCTCTTTAAAAGCTTCCTTTGAAGCATAAATTAATATGTTTACAAAGTTTTTATCTTGATACTTAAAATTTTAGTAACTGAAGTTACTTTAGTAACTGAACATTCTTATATAAAAGGAGAATTTTTTTTACAGTTAGAGGGCCAAAGTTTTATAATATATAGTTTTAATTTTAAGCAGCTTTTCAATTTATTTTATAAATGTGTAGAAAAGATATTAAGTACTGCAACAAACGTTTATTATATACTATCCATCATACAATATACTTTGAGTAAAGTTGTTCTATAAATATTCATATCATAATTCAATGTCATAATGACATTTGTATAAGGAACAGGTTTGGACGGATGTTAAAATCAAAAATGTGATAACTATATACTTTTACTTCTGGACGGATATACATATATATGCACTATGCTGCATGTGAACTTCATAACTGCACATGAACGATCACAGTAAGATCTCATCAAAAGGACATTAATCAACTTGATAAAAACACATGTTTCAAAAACACAAACAGAACATTTAATTGAAGCAAATCAATTCATTCTACTTTTTTAAGTATAATTTCCGAAGATTAAACATAAGATAATTTTAATTTTTTTTTATTTTCGCAATTAACTGACATACCTTTTAAGTTGCGCAATAATTTTAGAAAGTATGTGTAATCAAAAATCTAATTTGAATTTCTAATATATCAATTGGTTAGTAATGAGTGAAATCGCTTGCATTCAATATCTATTTCAATAATAATTATGCTGAGGAAAAATAAAAATATATGAACTAACAGGCTACATTTTAAATTCACAATGAAAAATAAATTCATCCTTCAAGTCATAATCTTCCTTGAATTAAGCTTTTTCTAGGAAAAAATATATAAATATCATAATTTTCATGTTTCATTTATCCATAACAAGTAATTATACGTGTTAAAAATTATGTTGTTGAACTATGAGAGCTTTTAATATCTAATTGTATGCTGCGATTGATTTAGTGACATTTTTCGTTGAACTAAATTAATTTTAAGTAGAACTTTATTATGAATACTATTCCGAGTCCTGCATTTTTGCTCCAAATGCATGTTAAATGTTATTTAGTTCTACATTTTCTATGTTAACATATAAATTTCATACATTTATTTAACAAAAATTGACAAAAGAAAGATGTCGTAATTCTTTAACTTTAACTGATAAATATCGGCATTCCCTTGATGTTATGTAAAAAGTCGAATAAACATCAAGCAAGCGCTTCACTTTATTTTACATTTTAGAATCATTAAACTACGATTAAGATTCGTAACTAAAATAATAATGAAATGCATCTTTGAATCTTTTATATACATATTCATTAAAATAGCAACGTATTTTGAAATAGGTATTTGAAAGTAAACCTAGGAGTTGTGAAAGACAACATTATCTGTAGCCGTGATATTAAGTCTATGCTCATATAGTCTCATTTAATATAGCTTTTGTAATTGAACAGTTTAATCGTGAAATAAAAATATGTTTTCCGTTAGGCAACTTTTTATTAAATACGTACCCTCTGCATGAAAAAATAAAAGTTATCACCAAATGCTAATTCAAATAGATTTTTGTCGTACTTTCATATTTAGAAAAGTACATAGAGAATAAAAAAAAAATGCATGAGAATAATCTTGCATAACATATGCATATTTGATGTAGGGAGTTGAAAATCTTTTAAATTCAAATTGACTTCCTAATACTCAGTAATTTGTTTAAGGTCGTACTAAGTAAAACGCTAGAATATCATCTGCTATACACATAAATACCGGGAAACCATGATCTTATCATTGTATCTTAAAGACAATACGTCTGAAAACAGTATAAGGCAATGTCAATACAAAAAGGAAATCTTACAATTGTTGAAGTAATGTAAATGTTGAAAGACTTCAAAAGTCGATATAAGCTTAGAAGTAAGCGCGTGTATTTATGACAGTCAGTTCTGTGTTAAATATTCCTGTCCTTATTTAAAAACTATTCAAAAGGACGGCTTAGAACTTTATGAAGTCTGTTCGAATTCAGCAGGGAATCGAGATAAGTTCTGTCTCATCTCCGAGGAGATTTGAGTTTTTATTTCACTAGTATAATCTTTGGAGTTGCAGTGCATCAAAAGATGTGCTTCAGCTCGAATTCATCTGTATTATACCCTGCGGAGAGCAGAATCAATGCCTTTCTTCTTACATATATAACTCAGCTCACTTCTCCATTAGCTTTTCTCAGCAATTCCATTCTTACTTCATGTTCGCGAGCTTTCAGTCTTAGTGCAGCAATACTTGAGCTCCTTCGATCGAGATCTACAGGGCCTGTTGCAGGCGGTGAGACTGGGGAGCCCGTAGATGGTCTAGGAGGAACAGTTGGCGGTGAAATTGCAGGCGATGGTTGAGTTACGGCAGCGGGAGTCGAATGAGTACTTGCTGCACCCGCAGCAGTCAACAAACTGGGATAAGGTTCAGTAGCAACAGGGCTCAAATCGGGAGGAGTAGTCAGCTTTGGTCTGTTCTGAGCAGACAGATTGACCAATAAGCTCTGAAATGATGTTGGAGGGAATGACCCAGCTACCGAATATGGGGACGATAAAGCTGCTGCTGGAAACAAACTGGAATACGGCAGATCACGGAGAGTGTAACTAGCTGGAGATAAAAAACTTGGAGCTGGTCGAAACAGAGACAGCCCAGGAGGTGGTAAATAAGGAGGTGGAAACTGGTGATGATGATGATGATGGGCGGCTGCAGCAGCATTTAATAGACCCAGATCATAAGAACGTGAGTAACCAAGAGCACTGAAAGGTTTTGCTGAACCTGGTGTTGAAGCTGGTACGGATGGTAGTGCAGTAGTAGCGGAATATGGGTTGTACCCTTGACTTTGGGATTGACCACCAGCTGCTTTTTCTTGCTTTCTCCACTTCGCTCTTCTATTTTGAAACCATACCTGAAATGTAAAAAAAAAAAAGTCACTGCGAATTTGCTTTTATGAATTACCAGATAATCTGTATTTAAAATTAAATTTAGCTCAGAGTCAGTTAAATGATCTCAATATTTTTATCTAGTTAGGTGCAACTTAAGAATTTTCTCTGTGTTATCATGTACAGATATGAACGCAAAGTTTAGTTTTATAGTTTCATTCTTAATTTCTTTCACACGTACTGCAGAATATTTTTGCAATATACAGTCATTCAGTTAATTTAAAAATTCGCGATTTATTCTTAACACAGAATATGATAAAGAACCAAGTGTAATAATAGAAGGAAGTGTCATTTCGTATAAATCACTGTGTAGAGAGTTTCGTCTACAAAATTTTAGGACTGAATTTTTCAAATACTCTCAGTAAAGCTGCCATATAACAATTAGTTCCAATGGTCAAACTAGCCATTACGAATTCTGCTTATAAAAAAGAATACAATATTTCTGTTCTTTTTGTTCCCTAAATTGAAATCATTTTTTAAAGATTATCAGTTTGAGACAATTTCAGAAATTAAGGAAAGTGTAATAACGAGATGAAAGAGTGTTGTAAAAGCTTACTTCTACAAAGTAATCCTCAAACTCTATCAACGTTTCGAAAGCTGCATAATATGGGAAAGCTAAACAGTAATGATACCCCCCCCCCCAGATCTTGACTTTTCATTATTTTAGTCCTAAACCTTGGACTCATTACGCATATTTTTAATATGTATATTTGGTTATCTCAAGTGCCCTAATTTTTATAATATGAGTTACATGTATAAGATGTTAGCTCAAATCTTTTTAAACCTTTGTTACTGCCCTAGAATAAACTTAAGATTAAGATTTAAAAGTAACACATTTACTTAGATCTGTCTAATAGAAAGGGCTCATCAAATCGCTGAGAATATCGTAGTATATAAAAACTGATCAGCTTATTAAAAAAATACTAAAATTCCAGATAAAAAAAATGAGTATCTATTTGAGATCAATACTGGCGAGACCTGAAAAGACACGCAATCTAAGAAACTCTCTAAGGTCTTTCTCAAAAGGCCCATAGTCTAAGAAACCACATTAAAAGTAAAAATATTTTCAGAGTTTAAAGTTTTTCTCTAATATTTACTCTTTCAGTGCATAATTTTTATTTAAAAGTAACACTAATATAAGCTGACACAGAATTTTCATTTAAGTTGTAAACAGTCTCAGCGACCGGAGCATCACTTATCTAATGATATTTTATTTAAAGTGGAGAAATCATGCGTTTTATTGTGTTTGTTGAGAATACTAAGCATATTTTATGCTAAAATAAAATCAATAACTCTTTCTCTGAACAACTGATAATACATTCAGAATTTTACCATGTTAGCTAAAGTCTTTTAAAATCAACTACCGATGCGCAACAAAAATTTGTTAAATATTGCCTTTATACTTAAAACTAGGCATAAACTTTCCCTAATGCGTTTAATTAAAACGTGCACTACAGTGCTACTATATAACTTACAACATTAATTTGCAATGAATTCACACTTGACATTAACGAAGCCTTTAAGCAAGAAAACATTTAAAAAGCGACTAATTTTATTGAATTACTTCTTAGTAACATTTTCGACTTTTAACCGGTTCACTCAGAAGAAAAATCGACAAATATTCTTTAGTTCTTAATTTAATGGCCCACCTGGAAGTAAACTTGTAATACGAAAGACTTCGCGCTCAAAAAATGACCATACAATTAAAACAACTCACATTTAAGCTAAGAAAAAGGAAATAATTCCACCTTAACTGAACAAAGGGACAGATGGTAAAGACTAACTTGAGATTTATAATCACCCATTAGCGTCTAAATGGAGATGATTTGTAACAACGCCAGAAAACGCCTCCCAGCGGTTGCTCCAAAGTCTTTGTCACCTAATTAGCTATTTGAAGCGGGTGATAATAGGGCCAACATGGTGTATACATTAGCAATAGGATTAACATCCGCGGCGACTATGTTTGTATTTGTAACGATAAACACTTCAAATCCGACCATTACATTATGCAAGCGGCTGCTTTTGCAGTTTCACGCTAATAGCCTAACCAGGATTTGCATTCGAAAAAGCTTTTGAGTGTTTTATTTTATTTATTATTATTTTCTTAAGGCTAAGGTCTTTTCCCGATGCTTAAGATGCACAATGTAAGTACAGAATCAAACGATAAGTACCGCAAATTAAGGAATGTAGATGCGAAGGTTTAAAGAGGGGTTAAGAAGTGTAGTAAATTAATTGATTTTGCTTCTAGAATGCTTCGAAACCCTGCTTCGGTATTTCGAAAGTTTTGAGTTATTTGATTTTTGAATATCATAATTTTATTCTAAAAGGAGGTTTACTTGTACATATGAAGCTGAGCATATTCATGAATTAAAATAAAATAAAAGGAAAAGTCTAGGGTAATATTTCAGTTTCTTTTAACTGTTTAGTCATGATAATAAGCTTGCTACTGTTTTATTTTTGGAAACTAACAGTGGTTTAATTCCGGAAAACTTATAACGCGGAGTATATAATCCATGATCTAAACCATACGATTTATTTAATGGAAACACTCCATTTATTGAGATTAAAGAGAATCTTATGATAAATGTTAGTTGTTACCACGAAGTAACATTATTTTTTTTAAATAATTTATTTCTCTTTAGCGCCTGAGGCAGAAAATTACTAAAATATGTCGTACTTTGTAACGTTGTTTTGCAAACTGAAGATTACATTCAAGCCATTCTTCCAACTTTACAACAAAAATAATTTAAAAGGACGAATAAATAAATATAAATAATAAATAAATAATTTAAGAGGGCGAATAAATGAATAAATAAATAATTTAAACATTTGAGCAAATAATAATTAATTAATTAAATAACACTGTACTGAAAAATAATTTTTCAAGTGATTGATGTGTGCTACTAATTGATATGTACTAATGAATATAAGAATAAAGATTAAATATTTCGCTTATTGTTAATCTGCAAGTTCCATTTAAAATAAATTAATAAATAAAAGATTATGGTTCAAAATAAAGGAATTTATTTTATTTTTCTTTCCGTAAAAAAAAAAATTCGATTTTGCTTCTGTTTTTAGGAATCATGAAGAGATGTAACGTGTACATTCATAAAAGTGTTAGATATGTAATAAAGTCCGTTTGAAACATTTTTCAAGGGATTAGCCAAGGAAAGTTCCCTAAAAAAGAAAACTTTTTAACGGAAAGAAAACAATTTACTTTATTATGAATGCGGACAGCATAATAATTTCTGTGACGTCAACTTATCTAAATCTGAGTGTATTATATATGTTTGTAAAAGATATTACAAATACAGACACCTAGCGTTTTTTCTTCCCTGTGTAATAACATCGTGTTGAGTAACCGGGTTAATGGTTCAGAAAATTGTGAAGATAGTACGTACTATAGGTATGCATTGTTTTATAGCCATAAAAATAACTATTGTTATATTTCTGATGCATAGTAGAATATAAAGTGAAGATTTTTGATGATTCGTTGCAAGCTAAACATTTTGTAACATAAAATAAAATAATACTTATTACTTTAACTGATAATTCGTATAAATGAATGCAAATGTATTAACAGAATAATGATCTCATTATGTTTTCTTTGTTAAAAGCACTTAAAAGCTGAATGAGATGGAAACAAATGGTTAAAGTTATAAATGAACTACTAGAAAGAAGACTACAATATATTTTATAACATTTAGAAACATTTGACACAAATTTGCAATTTTGATGCAGATATTTAAGACGCATAAACCAATTCAAAATATAAGTTACTCATCGAATTTTAAATTAAATATAATACGAAAAATGTGTCTGAACTTTCGATATAACAAAGTCTTTCTTTTCTACACTACTCACACTAAGCTTAAAAATTTAGATTTCTATCTAGACCCAAAATTTAAACACTATATTTGTGTAGACCTGCTTCTACAACGAAGATGATGCAGAATGTGTTACGATGTTTAGATGATGCAGAACGTATAGCAAGAAAAGAGTAATATATAAATTAAAGGTGCAAATAAGTGTTTAATTTTCTGTGCATCAGAACCTACATCTTAATTTTTGAAAATCCCCTGAAAAAGAGGTACAGCTTTATGAAAACAGCCTTTAATATTCCGGAATTATTTCGGTAATCCTTTTAGTTCACATAGTTCGATACTACTCGCTATTTGGTTAAAAGTAGCCCCTCTACAGTAGTATGCGTTTATATCAGAGGACAATCCCGACTGAAATATTTTCAATACAATGAAATCTTAACCAATAGTGATAAAAATAATCTATAAATTAATTGTATCGAATAAATCTATAAATTAATTGAATTTTTCTTTGAACTATTTTATATTAAAAAGTAGCAATAAAAATAAGGCAACTAAATGTATTAAAAACTAACTGGAGTTTTCGTTGTTACAGTTACTTTACTTTATAAAAATGCCACACTAAGAAGTAAGAAAAGTACATTAAAAATAACATTAAAACTGAGGTGAGCCAATGAATGAATAAAGATTAAATATTAAATTTAAAAAGTCATTACATTTATAACTGAAAATGCAAACTTGTAGATGAAAAATAAACCTGTATTTGCTCTAAAGCCTTTTAATACTTTTCTCTAATTAATACCGCTGTGTATCGTGTGTAAGTGCCAGTTTCCCTTAGAAAGTCCTCCACGAAGACATCCCTCCTCGTAGGCAGATAGCCCTCGCGTGCTTTGTCAAAATCAAATAAAACCAAACCAAACCAAACTGATTAATAACGCTGTGAAACTCATCAGTTAATTCATTTTTTTTTTTAACTACTGACCTAAACCGTGTAACAATATTATCAAACGGACTTTGATATGACTATCCTCGTCGGGACTCAAGTCACGGACCTCTCGAATACGCGTCGAGTGTGCTGACTACTACACCACGAAGGCATGGTAAGAAGGTGGGAAAAATATTTCATAGTGTTCAATAAAACTTTT